TGCTGCATGCCATCCACTGTCTTCTGAAGAATAGTATTTTTAATTTTTAGCAACAAATCCTTAGAAACCTAGGGAACATAGAGACTTATTTAAATGTAACTGGTATTTAACTGAAAAAGTCCTCGCCCACACTGAGGCTCCTTTGTATACTTATAGTATATTCTATGCATACCTCATTAGCCTATAAATTGAGAATCTAGAGTTTATAAATTAATTGTAGAAATTATTGCACATGCATGCTGCAACTAAGAGTCCACATGCTGCAACTGAGACCCAGTGCAGCCAAAATAAATAAGTAAACAATTTTTTTTAAGTAAAAAATATACGTAAATAAAATCACTTTTACCAAATGGTAGTTTTAATACACAAAGTCTAAAGTAAACCCTGTTTGGTTTTTAATCTACTTAAGAAAAATATCTAAAAGGCACTATATTATTAGCACAAACAATTATAACTATCAGCAGTGAAAGGAAATGGGTGAGTTTCTGAAGTGCTAATTTATTTATAATATGCTCAATGCATATTTTTCATAAACATTGTCAAGGAATTGTTTGGAAACATGCTCTATCCGTTATGAAGTAGAAAGACTAGAAGAACAAATGGTAGTCTGACCTGGTTCTCAATTCACCATACCCACTCTTACTGAGCACTTGTGTATAGGGCCCTGGATATCCAATGATGAATAAGGAGGGGCTAGAAGGATCTGTTCAATCGATACTTAAGTTAGTTCCTCAAAGGCTTTTAGAAAAGGTTAGTTTTAGAGTGAGACCAGAAGAGACACTTTTCATTTACTAGGAAAACCAATTTGCTGATTAGTAATATCATTTACAGAAAAAAAAACAGAAAGTGCCTAAGAGCTCTTTGAGAAGACCAAAAAATGACTACTGAACTTCAGCTGAGCCTCTGTGAAGTACCTGAGGTGCTGGACAATAGGCTCCCATTCCCCCTGTGTTGGGGCCCTGATCTCCCTCCAGCAATCGCTTATGGTCCTGTGCTGGGGGCATGGGGGCCACAGTCTTTCCATCAGTGAAGCACAGACACTGTAGAGAAAACAAACGGTCCACTTAACCTTAAATGCCAAAAAGTAAAAAAATAATTTAATAAGGAGAACTATATGTACCTTAACTCTAATTAGAGGAAAAGTTTTCTTTTTTAAAGTAAAATGATTTAAAACATAAATAACCCTAAGTTTCCTAGATCGAGAATCAAAAGATCCTGTATACTCTGTTCTGAAGGATCTGTAATTTTTGAGCTAGGTTGGGGGGGCACGGAAATCAAGCTACTCTCAAAGTAAAAAATTTCAACCTTTCCCCTGTTTAAATAATGGGTGATACAAATCCAATTTGCCTACTGCTACACTGGGGATGATGTAAGTCCAATTTGCCTACTGCTACACTGGGGATGATTAAAAGAAGATAAATTCTTCGGACTTCCCTGGCGGTGCAGTAGTTAAGAATCTGCCTGCCAATGCAGGGGACACGGGTTCGAACCCTGTTCTGGGAAGATCCCACATGCTGCGGAGAAAACTAAGCCCATGTGCCACAACTACTGAGCCTGTGCTCTAGAGCCTGCGAGCCACAACTGAGCCTGAGAACCACAATCACTGAGGCCATGTGCCACAACTACCGAAGCCTGCACACCTAGAGCCCATGCTCTGCAACAAGAGAAGCCACCGCAATGAGAAGCCCGCGCACTGCAACAAAGAGTAGCCCCGCAGCTCTCAGCAACTAGAAAAAGCCCGCGCAGCAACAGACCCAATGCAGCCATAAATAAATAAGTTTATATATTTTAAAAAAAGAAGATAAATTCTTTTTTCATTTGTATCTGAAATACTAAACGTATACAAATTCCTGTGTAACTGCTCAGGTTATGCTCTTGGATGAAGCGACCAGAGTAAACCAAGCCTTTTTTGGGATCATAGGTCAGATAACACAGCTTATACTCTGTAAAAGTCCAAAAGATGAATATACATACAGACACCTCTTCTCCTTCAAGAAGTTCTTCAATGACAGTTGTTTCTCCAGCTTCTCCAAAAGCTTTATCCTTATTGTCGATAAAAACAAAACAAAGAGAAATAAATTATAAGCTTTTATTATTTACTTAATTGGCTGTTGTCATTTTGCACCATTTGTATTACGAACCAACGCACTAGTATTATAATTTCTCTTTCTCTCTCTGAAAGCTGCAAAGGAACATATATGAATGTTTCCTATTTTTATTTTATTTATTTATTTGTGGCTGCATTGGGTCTTCATTGGTGCACACAGGCTTTTCTCTGGTTGCCCCGAGTGGGGGCTACTCTTCATCGTGGTGCACGGGCTTCAGTAGTTGTGGCTCGCGGGCTCTAGAGCGCAGGCTCGGTAGTTGTGGTGCACGGGCTTAGTTGCTCTGCGGCATGTGAGATCTTCCCGGACCAGGGCTCGAACCCGTGTCCCCTGCACTGGCAGTCGGATTCTTAACCACCGTGCACAAGGGAAGCCCGAATGTTTCCCATTTTCAGAGTTGCAATGATGTAGAGTTAGCACTGGTACAGATGAGATGAACACATCATTTAAACTCTTCTGGGGGTCCAGCTTTCCAGTTTCAAATAAGGTTAACAGAAAAACAGATGTTTTCATCATTACCATTTAACTCTATTTCTGACTTATAATTATGTTTGCTTACAATAATTATACTAATGTCTGTGAAAACAGATTTCCACAAGGGGGAGAAACCCACAACAACCAAGAAGGATCATAAAAAGCAAAGTATATTAATTCATTGCTTCACTTTTCTTAGACCTGAGACACAAAGGATAAATACTTTTTTTGTCCTCATGGATTGTTGAGTGTTTATTTATATGTTCTGTAGTCTGAGGACTTTCTACCTTTCAGAGCAGACAACAAAGGATGCTAAACAGAACTTACTTGCAAAGAACAGAATCATAGTTTAGCCATCAGTGTAGATGTGTAACAACCCTTTTACAGAGATGGATTATAATACATAGTACTATGAAAAATAACTGTTTGCTATACGTTTTCCTTGCCTTGAGGAATGTTTGTAAGCTTAACAGTATTTATTTATCCAGTGTGACTAGAAAATTATAAACTTTTTAAGAGGCATCAACTTACCTGCATAATCTCCTGTACAGCTTTGCAGGCCTCTTCTTTGCTCTTTGCGACAACTACCCCTTTCCCAGCTGCAAGACCACTGGCCTTCACAACCAAAGCAGGGAAGTCTGCACTGTGAAGACAGAGTAAATTTCAATATCCAATAAATCTTTAAGATTCAAAAGTTTAAAATGCTTTGGCATTGTGTAATAATATGCTATAGCAACAACTGAAAAGCAGAAAAAAAAAAAACTGCTAACACCATTTTGATGTACTTCCTGCCAGGATTTTTTTTTCCTATGTATTTCTTTATAGTTGTGGTCATATGGTACATACAGTTTTGCTTTTCTCACTTACCATGAGATCATATAAGCAAAATCTTTGGGGGAAAACAGCACTTGCATAGCATGCATATGGAATGACCTTTTAAGATACAATATAAAGTAATGAATCATGCTCTCCTTCAAGTAAAAGATGTAGCTGTATAAGACCAATATAAGCATGGATACACAGATCATTTCTCCAAGTACACATAAGAAACTGTTGTTGGTAGTTCCTTCTATTGAGTAGAACTGGAGATCTAGAAGGAGACTTACCCAAAGTAAGTAACAAAATTGTTACTTGGAAGGTATCTGGCTACTAGGAAATAATAAAATTCAATGTAGGATGAAGAAAAAACAAAGAATGAAACTGACCCAACTAAAAAGAAAACATACCAGGTAAAAAGGAAAAGTGTCAACAAAAATAGGGGGCAAAGGCATGTATCTACCAACATTCATTTATTGCTCAATGTTCTCCATATAATAGAGAACAGGATGTTTAATTTTAAGATTTAGGATTGAACAGTGGTGGCAGAAGGCCAAGTGATGATTCCTCACTCTAGTTAATTATTGATGAAAAAAATCACCATCCTTTATGTGTCAATTTGGCTAAGAGGGAATGCCTATACAACCAAATGTATCCTTTTCCCCTAGAAACTATTCAGCAACAAACATTAAAAAAATTTATCTTAAAAAAAAAAAATTTATCTTTCTGCAAGGCCGCAAGAGTAAATCCCATTTTATTTTGATGTTGGAAAAAGGCAGTCTACATCCTATGAGTTTTCCCCTAGAATTATCTTACTATAAACTCGTAACATAAAAGTGACCCGTATATTCAAATATCATATAACAAGTGCCCTTCACAGGCTATCTTCTATTTACCTCATAATGAAGCAGCAGGCTTCTTCAGCTTTGGTGAAAGCTCTCCACTGTGCAGTTGGGATTCCATGTCGGTCCATAAACTCTTTGGCAAACCTCTTGCTGGACTCTAACTGAGCTGCTTCTGCTGTGGGGCCAAAGCACCGCACTCCTGCAGATGTCAGGCTCCCAACAATTCCTAGGGATGGAAACAAGCAGCCGTAGCCCAGCTCTCTGCAGGGCCTTTTCATTCTGAAGAATTAGGATCAGGCTAAATATACATTGAGATGAAGCAAATGGCAGAGAATAACTACGTTTTTCATGTTTTATATAGGATATAAACAAAATGCTACTGACACATGATTCAAATCCAACAAAAATCATGTGTGATATTCAAATACATGGATTATTAAATAGACACCAGAATAGAGCAGAATAAAAACAAAATATTTCCTACAGCTGCAAATTTGATCTCTCATTCAAATTTAGTCTTATTATTCATACTACTGATGCTTGGGGGGGGGAATCCTGGAATCCATAAATTTCAAGAGGGTGAAAGCTTTCTCAGTGTATTATATTAGAAATCCTCATCTGTAAAATGTATTAGATGAGATGATCTCCAAGCTCCTGTTAGCACGGTGTATACCATAATAATAAACAGCAATGAACTTTACCAGCAGCCAGAGGTGCCTCTGGTCCAACAACTACAAATTCAATTTTCTCATCTTTGCAGAACTGTGCAAGGGCAGTGTGATCACTGATTGAGATGTCTGTGAAAAGAAAAAAGAAACAAACCCACCTTGTTTATAAAAACATTCTTTAAGTTAACTGTCTATCTGAAATGTAAGTACTATACTTTGGTATGCCTATTAATTGTTGGTTTTCTTTTACTGGTACAGATGGGTTTCACCATGAGAAATTCAGAGCACAGTACATCAGGCTAACCAACAAAGCTCAGTTCTCTGCTTTGTTATCACTACAGTGATAGCAGAGAACTGAGTAAGTTTTCCAAGAGCTATACTTTCTTGACTATGGTGTTCATGTTGCCAGTGCTGATTGTAAACAAAAAAGTGTACCAGAGAATATACTCAGAAACTGGTCTTTTAAATGTCATTCATTCAAGATTTACTGAGAACTGCTATATGCTAGATACTGTCCTAGTCACCAGGTTAAGATGCAAACACAAACAGGGTCCCTATATTTAAGATGCTTATATTTCACTGTGGGAATGTTGAGTTATAAATATCCAAGCAAAATAATACAAAGTGTGAACAATTAGGCAAATCTGATGTGAGGTAAACTGGGAGGCTATTTCTGATTAAGCCAGAAAGGGTCTCTTTGCAAAGACGTTTAAGGTAAGAACTGAAGGATGACTTTTAAGACCTAGCTCACTTTTCCAATGTACAAGCCAGGTAAATTTTCTTTCTTGATGGGAGTTCTAAGTAGTAGTAGGATCAACCATATATTAATCATGAGTAGGTTCTATAGGCGCTCTTCTGCTTCACTGTTATTTGGGCCACCATTCTTAAGCTGGCTGAAGTCTCTGTACATATGTGGTATTTGTGATGTGTAGGGGATAAGTGCAGAAAAGGCAGAGTTCTCAATCTACAGGAACTGCCTGAGTGGGATAAGGATGGAGTACCATGCACTCTGGGTTAGTAGCTGCAAACACAACTGGGCTGAACAGAGCCAACTACCTCAGCACAGCAAAGGGTGGCAAGAGGAAGATGACACACCTAACCTGTCACTACAAGTGATAGCAGCCTCATGACAATATTGGGAGATTTTCATGGGCTGGTCTGTATAACATCAATTGCATCTAGATAAAATGTGCCATTTCTTTAAAAAAAAAAATACAATACCTCACTCCCAGAGTTTAGATCCCAGGGAAGCAGATATTTTCTTATCTTTTTCTTATTATTTTTGCTCCTATGTACACAATTATCTTCTCCCAGTTGGTACCTTGCTGGGTCTATGTTCTCTCCATAAATATTATGTGCCACGTAGGGTACTAGGCACATTGCACACAGTGCAAAATAAGACAGGAGACACGGGACTTCCCTGGTGGTGCAGTGGTTAAGAATCTCCCTGCCAATGCAGGGACACTGGTTTGAGCCCTGGTCCTAGAAGATCCCACATGCCGCGGAGCAACTAAGCCCATGCACCACAACTGCCGAGCCTGTGCTCTAGAGCCCGTGAGCCACAACTACTGAAGCCTGTGCACCTAGAGCCTGCGCTCTGCAACAAGGAAGTCACCGCAATGAGAAGGCCATTCACCGCAACAAAGTGTAGACCCCGCTCGCCACAACAAGAGAAAGCCCATGCGCAGCAACAAAGACCCATCGCACCCAAAAATAAATAAATAAATTTATTTAAAAAAAGACATGCGACTTCCTTGCCCTCATGCAGTTTACATTCTAGAGCTTATGTTCTAGGAGGAAAATGAAGATAGGAGACAGACAAAAGTAAAAGAAGATACAGATAATAGTCCATGATTGAAAACAAATGAATTGGGGGGTGAACATGCTTTACTTAGAAACTTTAGGAAAGTCCTCTTTGAGATGGTAACATAAGTTGAGACCTGAATGATGAAGAGCCAGTCATGCTAGGAGTGAGAACAAAGTCCAAGGCAGCTCTGTTTGGGATACTGGCAGGACTGCATGGATAGGGCACAGTGAAAAGAAAACAAGGGCTATAAAAGATCAGGCTGGAAAGGCCAGCAGAGGCCAGATCACAGAGGGTTTCGTAAGGACAGTAGTTTGAGTTTTATACTGACTACTATGAGAAGTCACTGAAGAATTTAGTGCAGCATAAGAACCGATCATCTTTTCCTATTTACCGGTGGAAGAGATGAAGGCTGAGATCTATTATGGAGTAAGAATTGCCAGAACTTACATTTAATAGCACTGCTCAATTTTGCATTCCCCAAAATACACACCAAAACACCTTTAACCTATATTAGGCATTTTGTAACTTTTTCAGTGGACGTGTTTTGTAAGGTTTAAAATAATCTAAGGTAAGAAAATGATACACTCTGAACAACAGGATACCTTAAATTACAACATATGGCAAGTATTCAAATTACCACATAAATTTCTGGGTTAAAAAAAGCATTCAAATCTGAACAGCAATTGACCTTTATAAAGAAGAGATGTGAGTGACAGTTTTATCATTTATAATCGTTCACTTTTACTTCAAAAAAATGATTACCAGTGTTCGAAATCTTTTCAGAGCAGGCAGTGCCTGCATTTCCTGGGGTAACTAACACTTGTTTGACATGATTAGACTGTGCAAGTTTCCAGGCCAGAGTATGTTCCCTTCCTCCATTGCCAATTACAAGTACTCGGGCTGCCATTGCTCAGTCTGCAAAGCAGGAATTCAGCAGGAAAATGAAAGCTGCAGAAAGAAAACCACAGTTGATAGTTTAGAATACAGGTACTTTAGAAACCACGATTTCTAAATATGATTTAAGTAGTTATTTGTAATCATACAAATAACATTTTATCCCAGCAATTCATTTGTGAAAAACTAGGATTCATAATTTGAGAAATATGACTGTGTACTCTTAAGGATTAGAGCAGTACTTTAAAGCTCCTTATTGCAGTAAAACAAAATCTATGAACAATCACCCTTCTTTGGGCTTCACTTTTATTTATTTATTTTGGCCGTGCTGGGTCTTAGCTACGGCATGTGGGATCTTTGTTGCGGCATGCGGAATCTTTTAGTTGCAGCATGCAGAGTGCTGGCTGTGGCATGCAATGCGGGATACAGCTACCCGGACCAGGGATTGAACCCTGGCCCCCTGCATTGGGAGGGCAGACTCCCACCCACTGGGCCACCAGGAAGTCCCTGGGCTTCACTTTTAGAAGATTTAAAAGTCATCAAATCTCAGTTAAAAATGAAAATGTTTTAACTTTAGACACCAAATTGAAAATAACTGTTTTTAAACCTTTAGTCTTATAAATAATAGACTTTAAAGTTACAGTAAATTCAAAGAAATGTTTAAGACTAGAGCCCATAAAGGGTCAAATAGTAAATATTTTCTGAGGGCCATATAGTCTGTGTTGCAATTACTGAACTCTGCCACTGTTGTATGAAAGCTGCCTTGGACAAGAGACAAATGTGGCCTGGCTGTGTCCAGTAAAAACTTACATAAATAGGCAGTTGGCTGTAGGTCATAGTTTGCCTACTTCTTCTCTAAGTAACAGGAAGCTATCAGAGGTTTATAAAGCATAACTGTGGCTGTGTTTCCATAAAACTGTATTTATGGACACTGCAATTTGAATTTTGTATAACTGTCATGTGTCACAGAAACATCACTTTTCCTTTTCTTCCCACAAACATTTAACAATGTAAAAACTATTCTTATTTGGTGGACTGTACAACAACAGGTAGTAGGAAGGATTGGCACAAGAGCAGTAGTTTGCTGACCCCTATTTAAGAAGTTAGTGCAATATGCCAGAAAATTGGTAGAGAAGGCAAAAATCAAATTTGAACACGTCTTGCTTAGTTCTGGCATTTGATCCTGGGCAGGATAGGCAACTATCTCTCAAGCTAACAGTGTGACCCTGGTTAAGCTCTTATTACCTGCAATTCAATTTCTTCACATCATAAAAGGTGGAATTAAGAGAATTTGTCTTATGAGGCCTAGTAAGAATTGAAATGACATTTATAAACAATTAGTACAATTTCTTACACTCAGCAGTAGTAAATGCTAACCTGCTATATTTTATTTATTACTTTTGCCAAATTGATGCTTTAGGGAGAGAAAGAAATTCTAACAAGAAAAAAAAAGCCAAAGGAATGAATAACTTGTCACATTCATTTACTGATTTTCAGAAGACATGTAATTATGTAGAAGGCGAACTGATAACAGGAAAAACTGAAATCAGTTACTTCTCATGAGATGCTAGCATTACACGTTTAAAGAAAAATATAATTTGCTAATATAAAGAAGATTTTTTGAGCACTAACTTCGTGCCAGATGCTATTCTAAATGCTTTTCACGAATTACTTCACTTAATCTTAAGAATTCTGTGAGGCAGATAGGATTACCATGCCCTCTTTGCAGATAAATAAGTAAGGCTCAGTTAGGTTATGTAACTTGCTGCAGGTCACATAGATAAGTGGAGATGTAGCCTGGATTCCAACGGAACCAATTTTGCTTCAGATACTCTTTAACAGTTGAAAATATGAGGAAGAAAAAAATTACTAAATTATCATCTCGGAGAAAAACACTATTTTAGCTTACTGGAAAAGACTTGCCGCGTGTATCGACATATCTAAAATGAACGTATCTTTAAATTTAGAGAAAACATTTATGTTTAGTTTGAATAAGAGGGTCAGTGAAGGGAAATTATCCTGATTACTGCCGCGGATCTCTGAAATAGGATTAGGACTCAGCCTGAGGGAATCTACACCCAGGAGTGGCTAGGAGGCCGCCAGCCAGAGTTGCCTAGGTTTGAGTTAAGGAGTTAAGACTTCCTAGCTGGGATACCTTGAGGGACTTAACCTTCTTGGGCCTCAATCATCTAAATGGGTAACACGAGGAGAATTAGAGAGCCAGGAAAAGCCATTTCAAAGGACTTGGTGAATTGGGACTTCCCTGACGGTCCAGTGGTTAAGACTCTGCGCTTCCACTGCAGGGGGCCTGGATTCCATCCCTAGTCAGGGAACTTAGATACCGCATGCTGTGCAGCATTGCCAAAAAAAAGAAAACAAAACAAAACAAAGGACTTGGTGAATAAAATAAGGTAGAAACCAACTACAAAATGGGACTAAGTAATCTGCTAGAGACAAACGATGCAAAATGAGAAAATATGCAATTTAGGTGCATGACCTAAAAAACCTAAAAAAGCAGAGAGATGCAAAAAGGCCCTGACACCTTACAAAGCAGAGAAAGTGATAGATACAATGTAAACCTCAGTTAAAACTGAAAAGCACATGGCCAACCCTCACCCACTGCGATTAAAAATAAGAGGACAATCCCTACCGCCAAACCAGTTCCTACAGTTTCATCCAATTCCTGATAGTAATCCCCAAACCAAACCATAAATGTAGTTTCCTGAAAAGCGGAGGAAACTTACCCACGGACCTAAGGCTCTCTAGGCGCTCGCACTTAGACCCTCGCTGCGCGCTCTGAGCCCACTCTCCCGCCGCGCGCCGGAAGTCGGCCGATGGGATCCGGCGCGCACGCCCCCCGCCCACCCGCCCCGCCCCCGGCTGGCTTCGCTTCCCCATTGGTCGGTGTGGCCAGTGGGCCCCACCGCGAGGTAATCGAGAGTGATTCCCTCCCGCTCTCGGGCGCGGCCTGAACCTCCACCAGAGCAAAGCTCCCAAGCCCTAGCGAGTTTACAGTGTAACACTGTAGGGTCAGGTGCCACGTAACGTCTCTTCGCTTCTTCCAGAGCCTCCTGAGCTCTGAGGAGGGGGAGCACCAAAATGCTTAACCCATGTTCAGCTAATTGTGTGTTGCTCACGAGTCAGGACTGACCAGCTACCGTGCAAGTCTCGTGACACGCCTGGCTCCTGACGAGATTAAAATGCACCAAGGTTTGAACACACGTGGTTCAGGACCTCTGGCCTAATGCTAAAACGAAAAAAAAAAAGCCGAGGCCAATAATAGGATGCCACGGGAGGCAGATGGCGGTAAAAACGTATTCTTCGTATGGGGGCAAGCGCTGATTAATGTTTTCCCGGATGGATCTCCCTGCCGAAACTCGGTGCCATCCGGGACAGTTGGAGTCCCCGGTCAAACACCATGTTGCCCTCCTTGCTCCCTTTCCTCACGGAATTTAATCTAGGGTGTTTAGTGACCAAAATAAACCTCTTAAAGCCCCCAAACACTGTTGAAGACTGACAGCTTAAGCTGACAGTCGCCTCTAGAGAGACTTCTCCTGTAATGGCGCCTGCGTCAGTCACTAACATGGCGGACATAGTCGTGCGCGGCGCAAACGTCAGCAGCTCTACCCCAGACGCTCAGAAACAGCGGAGGAGAGCGGGGCCGTGCTCACTGATTGGTTCAGAGGCGGAGCGTGCCGGACTGGGCGCTCCCACAGGAGCCAATCAGGACGGCTAGAGACGGAATTGGCCGCTGCGCCTCCTCCCGAGGCATGCTGGGAGCCTGGAGGACTAGTGAGGAGGAGTTGAGAGAACGGAGCGGACGCCATGGCGACCAACATCGAGCAGATTTTTAGGTCTTTCGTGGTCAGTAAATTCCGGGAAATTCAACAGGAGCTTTCAAGGTAAACTCTTCCCAGGCTCTTCTGCTCCCAAGGGACCGATAGGGCCTCACGTAGCCGTCCGTGGCACCTTTCTTCAGGGACGCTGTCGTTCCTCGTCTCAGGCCCGGCTACAGCCCCGCCTGGGCCTGGGATCCATTTTCCGGCCCCCCCCCCACCCCCGTCCGCTCCCTCCCTTCCCAGCGAGGAACTTCGCCCTTTCCGAGGTAATCCCAGGCTCCCTCTTCTAGAACCGAGTTAGGATGCTCAGGCTTCTCCCCCGTTTGGTCATTCCCTACCATTTAGCTACTGTAGGCCTGGTTGTCCACCAGGGACGGGCCTAGTTCCTTCCTCAGCTCCTCAGCCGCCGCGGCGCTTCCCCTCCCCCTCTCTGCCTCCGCGGATTTCGCCGGCCGGTGTCTTTGACCGGAAAGGGGTCTAACGGCCGTTTCTTGGGTAATCTTAAATCCGCTTTATTATTGCAAGCTTCAGACCATTTGGGGGTCGGGATCCTTTAATTAGATTATTTGGGTCCTACTGTTCTGTGGCTTCCACCAGGTAGCATTCTAATAGTTTAATAGATTGGAAGTTTAAATTAAAACAGCTCAAATTAATGTTAGCTACTTTGACAAAATATTCGAGGTGAGGATGGAAGGGGACTTTGCATTAGTGGTAATTTTTTTAATTTAGTCAGCGGAAAGTGGACTTCATGTGTAGCTCTAAATATTTTTGCCGCCCCTGACCCAATTGACATATTTGACCAACACGCTACTTTTGTCATTGCTACTGGTTTACCCTTGCTTCCCCACAATTTGAATGGGAAGAGATTTTCAAAGAAATACTTGCTTACTCAGAAACGAGAATCGCGTGGGTCATGTTGTTATTCAGTGATTGCCTTTTTGCTTTGTATAACGTAAATATTTGTTCCGAGTTCAAATGTATTTGCTGGTTGTATTTTAAAAGTTGAGAGCAAGAACCACACGTAACGTGAATTTGAAAATCAGCCGAAAACGCATTTGTAAACTGAGCGCTCAAATTAACATAAGGTTACTGGGGCAGTGATACAGTATTGCTGTAATGTTTTTCCAGGGTATATTGTTATTTCATTGGGAAATAAATCTTCTCATTGATTTAGTTGCTTTTTAAAATTTTGTTATATGCTGGTTATTTTTAGGATGATAAACGACCTGAGTTAAGGGAATATAATTTTCCTGAAAACTTTTTTATAGTTGCATATATTAAGTAGTTGTGTTTGCTGGTTGTAATGTCTTTTTTCTATACCTTTTAAAATTCAGTTTTTGTATTAGAAGTGTTATTGTCGTGGAAAGTTTAGGAAAAAAGAGGAAAGAAAATTTTAAAACACCACATGGTTATTGATCTTCATGTTCTTTCATTTTTTCCTTGTGCATACAGATGCACATATTTTGTCAAGTGTGATCATCTTGTTGTGTGTTGGTTGTTTTTTTCACCTATATATTGTGAACACGTTTGTGTTTTATCAGTCTCGGTAGTCTTTGAAACATTTTTCATGGCTCCATAGAATTCTGTTGTAGGATTGTATTGATGGATATTTAGTTGCTTTGAAATTTCCACTCCTTTGCAGCAGTTCAGTAAGCATCCTCACAGCTTTAAGATGATTACTTTGTTATAGACTGACAGGTTTTTTTTTTAGCCCTACTTTTCTGATTTTTAAATCGTGGCCTTTTTAGTAAGGTACGCACTGTGAAAGTGCTTAGGAAAAATGTAAAAGAGCTCCAGGAAGAGAGTTTAAAAAGAATATTAGATAAAGCAGTTTATTACTAAGGGAATATTTAGCTTCTTTTCAAATACTATGCTATATATTGTCAGTATTAAAAGAAGTTTTTGATTATTTGCCATTTCGGTGAACTATAGTTCCTTTTTTTCTCACTTACTTTTATGAATATGGGTTTGGGTGAGGAGACTGACTTTTAGACAGTTTAAGTTATTATATATAGATGGTTGAGTGTGAGCTCTGGTTTTGAATACCAGCTTTACCTCTTAATTAGATGTATGATGTACAGCTAGGTTTTTTTGTCTTCTCTGTGCCTCATTTTCCTCGTTTAAATAATCAGAAAAAAAAGTGCTGACCTTAGAGTTTTGTTAGGATAAATGAGTTTAAAAATGTAGAACCGTGCAACCCTAATTAATAGTTAATAAATGTTAAATATTGCTATTGTATGACTAATTGTATTAGAAAACCAAATGTTTTTTAATAACACTTGGTTAACTACTGAATTTTTTTGGGTTTTGACCAGACTTTTATCAGGTAGTGGAGCATAATTGTCGACCCATTTTGCTACCTAAAATTTAAGTTACATTAAGTCAAACGTGCTGTTTAAAGTATTTTTCAGAACAATTTTGTAAATTTACACAAAATAGTACAAAAGACTAAGTAAATGATATGTTTTTATGTCTGTTAAGATTCTTCTGTTCCCGTGAATTGAAAATATGTTAAGTGATTCATTTACTGTTATTATAAATGAGTTGTTTTACATGATTTTTGATAACTGGGTGAAAATTATATAAATGTATTTTTCCTTTTCAACATTATGGCATTTCAGCAAGTCTGATCAGTCTAAACCTGTTCCAGTGCTACAAGTTACCGTTTTGACTTAATGTGTCAGTGGCTAAAGTTGTGTTCCTTGATACTGCTGATGGTGATTGTGATACTTGCACAAGTGTGGCTTTACTGTGGCTATAGCTTCTACCATAATGTTAGGTCATGTATTTTTCTTTGGTTTTGTGATTGTGATCTTAATAATAATTTTCCTCCCCTGAGAGAAATATGCTGGTTGGGGAGTATTTTGTTAAAAAAAAAAAAAAAAAAAGATGAGCTTAGAAACCTGTTTGAAAGACTTTTTCTTAACTTTCACAGTTCTGAAAACTTTAATCGTGTGAAAATAAAAATGTACCAACTGTAAATAGATAGTGTTAAGGAAGCACTTTTGATGGGGAATAGCATCCAAAATAAATAAAAAATGGTGAAGTGTACAAATAAGATTGTTTTAATCAGTTGAGTTACAAATATTAATTTATTATATGGCATGATAAAAATATTAATGAATTTTGGTAACTTTTCTTGTGAAGTGGAAGGAGTGAAGGCCAGCTCAATGGTGAAACAAATACACCTATTGAAGGAAACCAGGCAGGTGATGCAGCTGCTTCTGCCAGGAGCCTACCAAATGAAGAAATAGTTCAGAAGATAGAGGAAGTACTTTCTGGGGTCTTAGATACGGAACTACGATATAAGCCAGGTAAGTTGGAGATAATCAGTTGTCTTGAAAACTTGAAGATTTTTTTTTAATAGTTGACAGTAGTATTTCTTGATTGCAGAGTATTTAAGATGTTCATTAGATTTAAAACTTCAATAAGTTTAATTTTTAGTTTAATTGATTTACTGAAGATTTTCTTAAGTATTTTTTTGAAAATACAATTGTACTGGAACCATGAGCATCGATGCATTTGTTTACTTTGCTGGTGGAATATAACTATCTTTGTTTGGTTTAGTCTTACAGTGCCTCAGTGCCAGGATTTTGAATGTAGGTTTTCATTGAACAGTTGTATAAATGTCAGTTTTGGAAGGTACAGGAGTCCGGACCATACCTGTAATGATTCTAAAACCCTGGAAGGTTTTATTTTAAAGCTCAAGATTAGAGATGATCTTGTTTTTGTGTCTACTCCTCTTAAAGGTGAAATGAATGGAGAGGAATCATTGCTGGATATTTAGCATTTGGGGAATTGATTAAATAATTGATGCTTAGAAATGAAGGATTTGTGATCAGCCACAAAAATAACAATATTGTTTAGTTTTGTAAATGGGGGGCCATGGTATGGGTTTTGTTTTTTTTTTATTTTTAGTATAGAGTATGGTTAAAAAAAAAATAGCATGGACTGTAGCCTTGCTTAGATTCATGGCTCTAGCAACTTTTTCTTGAAGTATAATGTAGCTAACGTTTGGTACATAATAAACAATTAGTGGAAAATGATTAATTTTGCTTTGGAAGAGGTCTTGTCATGTGTTGATTTGCTTTTTCCATAATCTTGGTGACCTGGATTTCCGATCACCTAAGATCACTAAGGTTTATCTAATATGATATTGGCATTAGAGTAAATCTCATCTGGTTAGAAAGTGGATTATAAACCACTTTTTCTTTTAGATATGCAGATTGAAATGTTCTTAAGTTACATGTTAAGGGCTGTACGAATTTTCTTCTTCAAATGACTTTATTATCATTTTTAAAGTAGAAACATTAAAAAAAATTCTTAGTAATTTAGAAGAGTATTGGGGGGAAGATGTTATTTTTATTAGAATGCAACATGGGTGAAAATTCAGGTTCCGTATTTTACATTTGTTGTTCAGACCTTATACTATAAAAGCAATCTCTAGTATTTGCTGAGGGCTTACTTGGTGCCAGGCATTATTCAGTGTACTTTGTATGTTTTAACTGAGTTCGTCCTCTAACTCTGGAAGACAGAGTGTCAGCGGTTTGGCCACGTCTATTCATTTAGTGAGTGGTGAATTGATTCAGTATCCAAAAGCAGACAGTGTGTTCCAGAGCTAGTGCCATGTTGCTTTCTGTATAAATAAGGGTGATAAAATAGTTACAAAAGTTTTTTAACGTGTGTTTTTGTGGAAATTCTTAGAGTTAATAATATGAAAGATATTCATCATAACTGTAGTTTAAAAGTAATTTGCTGTATAGTGAGAGCTGGAGAAAGTAATTGTTTTAAATGAACTTAGTAAAAACACATCTTAATGTAATTCTAAAAGTTTTTGTAATAAATTAAGAAATTATTTTTAACCCAGGCTTCAGTTGTAAAAGAAGTATTGGAAAAGTGTCAGTCTTCAGATAACTGGTTTATGGAAAATAGTTTATTTAGTAACCTTTTGTTTAACAAGAAGTGTTATGGTATCTTAACATGGATTGTAAGTTTTGGTTTATACGACTTACCTAAATCTATTTTGGGGGATATTTGACAAAATTAATTTTCCTAAATTTCAGACTTGAAGGAGGCTTCCAGAAAAAGTAGATGTGTGTCTGTACAAACAGATCCTACTGATGAAATACCTACCAAAAAGTCGAAGAAACATAAAAAGCACAAAAATAAAAAGAAGAAAAAGAAGAAAGAAAAGGAAAAAAAGTATAAAAGACAGCCAGAAGAATCTGAATCAAAGCCGAAATCACATCATGATGGGAACGTAGATTTAGAATCAGATTCCTTTTTGAAGTTTGATTCTGAACCTTCAGAAATGGCACTGGAGCATCCTGTAAGAGCGTTCGGCCTATCTGACACCAGTGAGTCTCCTGCACTTGTGCTAGAACCTCCTGTAGTATCTATGGAGGTATTAGAGCCACACACCTTAGAAATTCTGAAGCCAGCTACAAAAACTGCAGAACTGTCAGTTGCATCTACATCAGTAGTTTCAGTGCAGTCAGAGCAGTCTGTAGCAGTAATGCTGGAACCATCCACGACAAAGATTCTGGATTCCTTTGCAACAGCACCAGTGCCTACTACAACAGTAGTGCTAAAGTCATCTGAGCCGGTTGTGACAATGTCAGTGGAGTGTCAGGTGAAGCCTGGGCTGAAATCTTTGGAGAGCACACCTCCAGAGCCATCAAAGATCATGTTGTTAGAGCCTCCAGTAGCAAAAGTGCTAGAGCCATCAGAAACCCTTGTGTCATCAGAGACACCTACTCAGGTGCACCCTGAGCCAAGCACATCAACAACAATGGATTTTCCAGAGTCATCGGCAACTGAAGTGCTAAGATTGCCAGAGCAGCCTGTAGAAGTACCATCGGAGATTGCAGATTCATCCATGACAAGACCGCAGGAGATGCTGGAGCTGCCCAAGACCACAGCGTTGGAGCTGCAGGAGTCGTCGGTGGCCTCAGCGATGGAGTTGCCGGGGCCACCTGCGACCTCCATGCTGGAGTTGCAGGGGCCCCCTGTGACTCCAGTGCTGGAGTTACCTGGGCCCTCTGCTACCCCGGTGCCAGAGTTGCCAGGGCCCCTTTCTACCCCAGTGCCTGAGTTGCTAGGGCCCCCTGCGACAGCAGTGCCTGAGTTGCCGGGGCCCTCTGTGACGTCAGTGCCACAGTTGTCGCAGGAATTGCCAGGGCTTCCAGCACCATCCATGGGGTTGGAGCCACCACAGGAGGTACCAGAGCCACCTGTGATGGCACAGGAGTTGCCAGGGCTGCCTGTGGTGACAGCAGCAGTAGAGCTGCCAGGGCAGCCTGTGGTTACAGTAGCAATGGAGTTGACCGAACAACCTGTGACGACGACAGAGTTGGAGCAGCCTGTGGGGATGACAACGGTGGAACATCCTGGGCAGCCTGAGGTGACGACGGCAACAGGGTTGCTGGGGCAGCCTGAGGCAGCAATGGTGCTGGAGTTGCCAGGACAGCCAGTGGCAACGACAGCGCTGGAGTTGCCAGGGCAGTCTTCGGTGACTGGGGTGCCAGAGTTGCCAGGGCTGCCTTCGGCAACTAGGGCACTGGAGTTGTCGGGGCAGCCTGTGGCAACTGGGGCACTGGAGTTGCCTGGGCAGCTCATGGCAGCTGGGGCACTGGAGTTCTCGGGGCAGTCTGGGGCAGCTGGAGCACTGGAGCTTTTGGGGCAGCCTTTGGCAACAGGGGTGCTGGAGTTGCCAGGGCAGCCTGGGGCGCCAGAGTTGCCTGGGCAGCCTGTGGCAACTGTGGCGCTGGAGATCTCTGTTCAGTCTGTGGTGACAACAACGGAGCTGTCAACGATGACCGTGTCGCAGTCCCTGGAGGTGCCCTCGACGACAGCGCTGGAGTCGTATAATACGGTAGCACAGGAGCTGCCTACTACATTAGTGGGGGAGACTTCTGTAACAGTAGGAGTGGATCCCTTGATGGCCCAAGAATCCCATATGTTAGCTTCTAACACCATGGAGACCCATATGTTAGCATCCAACACCATGGACTCCCAAATGCTAGCGTCCAACACCATGGACTCCCAGATGCTAGCGTCCAACACCATGGACTCCCAGATGTTAGCCTCTAGCACCATGGACTCCCAGATGTTAGCAACCAGCTCCATGGACTCCCAGATGTTAGCAACCAGCTCCATGGACTCCCAGATGTTAGCAACCAGCTCCATGGACTCCCAGATGTTAGCAACCAGCACCATGGACTCCCAGATGTTAGCAACCAGCTCCATGGACTCCCAGATGTTAGCCACTAGCTCTATGGATTCCCAGATGTTAGCATCTGGTACTATGGACTCTCAGATGTTAGCTTCCGGCACCATGGATGCTCAGATGTTAGCGTCTGGTACCATGGATGCTCAGATGTTAGCATCTAGTACCCAAGATTCTGCTATGTTGGGTTCAAAATCTCCTGATCCCTACAGGTTAGCTCAGGATCCTTACAGGTTAGCTCAAGATCCCTATAGGTTAGGTCATGACCCTTATAGGCTAGGTCATGATGCCTACAGGTTAGGGCAAGACCCCTATAGATTAGGCCATGATCCCTACAGACTAACTCCTGATCCCTATAGGATGTCACCTAGACCCTATAGGATAGCACCCAGGTCCTATAGAATAGCTCCCAGGCCATATAGGTTAGCACCTAGACCCCTGATGTTAGCATCTAGACGTTCTATGATGATGTCCTATGCTGCAGAACGTTCCATGATGTCATCTTACGAACGCTCTATGATGTCTTATGAGCGGTCTATGATGTCCCCTATGGCTGAACGCTCTATGATGTCAGCCTATGAGCGCTCTATGATGTCAGCTTATGAGCGCTCTATGATGTCCCCTATGGCTGAGCGCTCTATGATGTCAGCTTATGAACGCTCTATGATGTCAGCTTATGAGCGCTCCATGATGTCCCCGATGGCTGACCGATCTATGATGTCCATGGGTGCTGACCGGTCTATGATGTCTTCATACTCTGCTGCTGACCGGTCTATGATGTCATCGTACTCTGCAGCTGATCGATCTATGATGTCATCTTATACTGCTGATCGTTCAATGATGTCTATGGCAGCTGATTCTTACACCGATTCTTACACTGATACATATACGGAGGCATATATGGTGCCACCTTTGCCTCCTGAAGAGCCTCCAACAATGCCACCATTGCCACCTGAAGAGCCACCAATGACACCGCCATTGCCTCCTGAGGAACCACCAGAGGGTCCAGCATTACCCACTGAGCAGTCAGCATTAACAGCTGAAAATACTTGGCCTACTGAGGTGCCAGCATTACCTCCTGAAGAGTCTGTGTCGCTGCCTGAACCTCCTGTGAGTCAAAGTGAGATTTCAGAGCCTTCAGCAGTGCTTGCTAATTATTCAGCGTCAGCATCAGAGCCTTCAATGTTAGCATCAGAGGCTTCCATGACTGTTCCAGAACCACCACTGGAGCCAGAGTCTTTGGTCACATCAACACCTGTAGAGTCTGCTGCTGTAGCAGAAGAGCATGAAATTATTCCAGAAAGACCAGTGACTTATATGGTGTCGGAAACTCCCACAACATCAGGTGAACCGACTGTGTTAACATCAGAGCCTTCTGTTATGTCAGAGGCAGCAGAAACTTTTGATTCCATGAGGGCTTCAGGACATGTTGCCTCAGAGGTATCTATGTCCCTGCTGGAGGCAGCAGTACCTATTCCAGAGCCATCCCAGAGCACTGTAGATCTGCCAGCCATGGCTGTCTCAGAGCTACCAGCTGTGGCTGTCCCAGAGCAACCAGCTGTGGCTGTCCCAGAGCAACCAGCTGGAACTGTCTCAGAGCCACCAGCCATGGCTGTTCCAGAGCCACAGGCTGAGGCTGTGCCAGACCCAGCGGCTGTGGCTGTCCAGGACCCACTGGCTGAGGCTGTCCCAGAGCCCCTGGCCTTGTCTGAGCCAGAGCATATTACCGTTCCTGTGCCAGTTGTTTCTGCCCTGGAGCCTACTGTGCCTGTCCTGGAACCAGCGGTGTCAGTCTTTCAACCTAACGTGATTGTTTCAGAACCATCTATTTGTGTCCAAGAATCTACTGTGACAATTTCAGAGCCTCCTGTCACTCTCTCAGAGCAGACTCAAGTAATACCCACTGAGATGGTTTTAGAGTCTACACCAATGATACTGGAGTCTAACGTTATAAAAGGAATGAATTTACTGTCTGGCGATCAAAATCTTGCTCCAGAGATTAGCATGCAGGAGATTCCCATGCATTCAGACGAAGAGCCACATGCTGAAGGACACCTGAAGAATGATTCTTATGAAACTGAAAGTGGTATGAATATAGACCTTAATATAAATAATCACTTAATTGCTAAAGAGATGGAACATAACACAGTGTCTGCTGCCAGCACTGGTGCTGTTGGTGAAACTGGTGAAGAGAAGATTTTGCCCACCAATGAGACTAAACAATGCACAGTATTGGATACCTGTCCTACTGTTAGTGAAACTGATGTAGGAGGGACTCTGTCTTCTACTGGTTCCCTTGCTCTTGAACCTGATGCACTGGGAACTGGTAAGGGTCTTGAATTTGCCACAGCATCTGCTTTCAGTTCAATTAGTAAATATGATGTTGAAGTATCGTTAACTACTCAAGATACTGAACATGACATGGTAATTTCCACCAGCCCCAGTGGTGGTAGTGAAGCTGACATAGAGGGACCTTTACCTGCTAAAGACATTCATCCTGATATACCAGCTAATAATAACTTTGTCAGTAAGGATGCAGAAGGATCATTACCTATACAGGAGAGTGACCAGACATTAGCAGTGGCTCTCAGTCCTAAAGAAAGTAGTGGAGAAGATAAAGAAGTACCTCTCCCTACTAAAGAGATACTGTCTGATTCAGGATTTTCTGCCAACATTGATGATATTAATGAAGCTGATTTAGTGAGACCATTACTTCCTAAGGACATGGAACGTCTTACAAGCCTTAGAGCTGGTATTGAAGGACCTTTACTTGCAAGTGAAGTTGAACGGGATAAATCTGCTGCCAGTCCAGTTGTAATTAGTATACCAGAAAGAGCTTCAGAGTCGTCTTCAGAGGAAAAAGATGATTATGAAATTTTTGTAAAAGTTAAGGACACACATGAAAAAAGCAAGAAAAATAAGAACCGTGACAAAGGTGAGAAAGAGAAGAAAAGGGACTCTTCGTTAAGATCTCGAAGTAAGCGTTCCAAGTCTTCTGAACACAAATCGCGAAAGCGCACCAGTGAATCTCGTTCTAGGGCAAGGAAGAGATCATCGAAGTCCAAGTCTCATCGCTCTCAAACACGTTCACGGTCACGATCAAGACGCAGAAGGAGGAGCAGCAGGTCAAGATCAAAGTCTAGAGGAAGGCGATCTGTATCAAAAGAGAAGCGCAAAAGATCGCCAAAGCACAGATCCAAGTCCAGGGAAAGAAAAAGAAAAAGGTCAAGCTCCAGGGATAACCGGAAAACAGGTAGAGCTCGGAGTCGCACCCCAAGCCGTCGGAGCCGGAGTCACACTCCGAGTCGTCGAAGAAGATCTAGATCTGGGGGAAGAAGGAGCTTCAGCATCTCCCCGAGCCGACGGAGCCGCACCCCCAGCAGAAGGAGTCGCACCCCGAGCCGAAGGAGTCGCACCCCGAGCCGACGGAGCCGCACCCCGAGCCGACGGAGCCGCACCCCGAGCCGACGGAGCCGCACCCCGAGCCGTCGGAGAAGATCAAGATCTGTGGTAAGAAGACGAAGCTTCAGTATATCACCAGTCAGATTAAGGCGATCACGAACACCCTTGAGAAGAAGGTTTAGCAGGTCTCCCATCCGCCGTAAACGATCCAGGTCTTCTGAAAGAGGCAGATCACCTAAACGTCTGACGGATCTGAGTGAGTCATTTAAAAATTTAATGGTATTAGGGAATGATTTAAAGCTGAGTTTTTTTCTGTGAGTCAAATGGAATATTTGGGGTTATTGGTTTAGGATAAATATTTCTATCTTTAAATTTTTGTAGTTAGGTTTAGCTTCTGTTTAGAAAATGTAGGAATAAGTACATTTGTAATTAGCGTTTAAAAGACCTGCTTTGGAGTAAATTAGAACCAAGGTATTTCCATGCTTGAATGCTTTCTTTTTGCTTTAACCATATTCCATAACTAAAAATGGCAGGTAGAAGTCCAGTTAAAGACAAGGCTAGTATCTGCTCAGGTTGTTATTGTATGTATTCCAACATAAATTCTTGCAGATAAGCCTAAAATCAAATGTTTCTTTTTTAATAAGTTACATGTCTTAAACTGGCAATACAGTACTGTTAAATGTTTGTGAAAATAATTCTGATTGGTATAATGGGTGATGGAAGTGAGTAGGGAATTTTGCATATGGGGAGTTAAAGTGATTTCAGTCTGCCTTTTAAAAGATGAAGTGTTGTAATTTCTCCTAATTTTAAAAAGTGTGCAGAGGTGATTAAAACTTGATGGATCATGCGTGACTACCTGTAATAATAATGGATAATTTATCATTATCCCAGTGGATTGGACATTTCCAGGTCAGAGTTGTCTAAAGAAAAAGATCTTAACAGAACCGCAAGGGAGAATGCATTCAGTTCAACAAATGTTTCTGAGTTCTTTTTTTATTCAAAGCAAAAAACAGTATATAATTTCTGGAGTGATTACAAGTTAGTACAAGAGACACATAAAATGCATATATGTCTCTTTTACCAAATAGTAAAACTACCAAAAAGAGTAGAATGTGATGATTGCTGTAATTACTGGTATAGATTAGGTACTTTGGGAGCACGGTGGAGAGGAATGTTAAATTCTGACTTAAGACTTGTTACTTTGAAGAGGTGGCAGTTTTGAACTTTGGCTCAAAGAGTGCTTTAAAATGTTGTCCGAGATTAGAAGGAAAGTAATTTAAGGGGCGTGATAGTTGTGGAAAATAAAGTAGGTTTGGGCAGGTGTGTGTCTTAATGTGTGTGGCAGAGTGATCATTATAGTTGTGTAGTCTAGCTATTTTGTATAGTGTTTGAATGGTAAGCTAAATGTGGACTTAATTCTTTTTTAAATATGGGGCATTTGTTTTAAAACTTTGAGCCAAAGAGTGATTTCATCACAGCTGTAAGTTAGGGCAGAAGATTGATGCCTTTAATTTTGTTAGCATATGAAACATTAGATAATACAAAATGTACAGCCTTTTAGGAAAACTGCTTCTTATATATTCCTCTTGCAGATAAGGCTCAGTTACTTGAAATAGCCAAAGCTAATGCAGCTGCCATGTGTGCTAAGGCTGGTGTTCCTTTACCGCCAAACCTAAAGCCTGCACCTCCACCTTCAATAGAAGAGAAAGTTGCTAAAAAATCAGGAGGAGCTACTATAGAAGAACTAACTGAGGTAAGCTAGACAGAATTTGTCATTCTTAAATGGATTATTCCAGTGATGTTGACTCTGGAGCGTGCCAAAACCCGAATTGTGGGCTGAACTGATAATGGCTGGCACCGAGTGGCCAAAACCCGAAATACAGACGTGGCAGCGGCAGAAGCTCTATTTAGCAGGCCATTATCCGGGATGGCTAAGCTCCGCTAGCTAAAAGTTACTTCCCATTACTTTTGCTTTCCAGTTTTAGAAGCCAAACTGACTGAGGAGTGGGACGGTTCGTTTGAATGGAGGAGGTGTTGAGTGAGCAACACGCAGAAGCTCGCCTACAGTTTCGTTTCCATTCACGACGTGTTCACTGATCGCCACGAGTGTACTGCATATACGCAAAGACACAGACAATCTTCAGAAATGATCTTTTGCCACCGGAGCTTGGAAATTAATGAGAATAGCTGGCCATTGCCTGAAAGGAACTTCTTTCGCATCAACATTTCGGGTTTTGGCTGTTTGGTACCAGCCATTGGTGATAATGGCCGGCCATTATCAGTTCTTCCTGCGGTTCGGGTTTTGGCAGTAACATATATATTTTAAACACACTTATTTTTGTTTTTAAGAATTTGATCTTTTAAATTGAGGCTTTTTTTTTTGTCTTTTGGCTTTATTTTATTAAAAAATTTTTTTTTTGGAGGACGCTGAAATATTGCTGCTAGGATCCAGAAATACCACATTGTTTCAGATATTGAAACTTGTTATTGGCTAGCCTTATGCCAGCCTGCCACTGTCAATATATTCTGTTCCCCTTGGTTACAAGCTTGGTATATTCTGTGTTTTTGGCTATATGAGCTTTTTATCCTATTAAAGTATTTTCAGTTGATAAGGGATATGACAGATTCTACTGCTAGTATAGAGACATGTCCACCCAAATTTACTCTGACCTTTTTATAAAGCCAGGTAATGGAGTCGGTTCCTTTGCTTCTCAAGGCGGAATTGACTTTGCTTTATGTGTCAGACCTCATCAATTGCACCCTCCCCATCATGCCTTATATTCCATTCTTGAGTTCTGTTCCTTTAGAGACTCAACCTACAAAACATTTATGGAAAGACATGCTATCATCTAACCCAGTTGCAAATGTTTGAGATTTTATTTAGCCATACATTTGGGGATCATATAGTTTCTTAATCTGTTTCCTTACTTAGATTTATTACAATTTTTTTTTTAAGTTTAAGGACCTAGTGAAGGCTTCTGTTGCTTGCTTATCAAATCCAAGCTCCTTATCCAAAACCTTGTGAACACTTAGTGTTTCCCTATATATTTTAGCCTCATCTTCAGCCCTCTGTCCCTTCTAATAAGTTTTTTCTCACCTCTTTACCACTACCTGACTAGGGTGACTTTCTTTTCCTTTCCCTGCTAATCCTTGTTCGTAACTATGAAAATCTGGCTTAGAACTCTGCGAGGAATATTCCTTGATTATCAGATTCTGCCTGATTCTGTTCTCTTAAGCTTTTGTTCTTTGAGCACTTATGTACTCAGTTTGTATTATATCAGTTTGCACTTGTTAATTGTGTTGCTCTGTAAAAGCGTTCCTCAATTATCTCATGTGTATGTATTCCGTCTATTGAACTAGATTGTAAGCTCCTTGAGAGCAGGGACCATGTCTTTTACTTTATTTTTTTTGTATTCCCTGGACAGTGCCCAGTACAGTGCTCTGCACATAGTAGGTGCTCAATAAATGTTGTTAACTGACCAGCTAGAGTGTGTTTAAATAGTAACCAGTAAGCTAAGTTACATATCTGTAACCTATCATTAATCTTGTTTTACCTTTGAAAATTGATATTATGTGGTTTTGATTCTTTTAAGAAATTACATGTTACTCTGCATAAAGTGTAAGGTTTATCTTTTGTTTGTTTTTACTTTTTTAAGAAATGCAAACAGATTGCACAGAGTAAAGAAGATGATGATGTAATAGTGAATAAACCTCATGTTTCGGATGAAGAGGAAGAAGAACCTCCTTTTTATCATCATCCTTTTAAACTCAGTGAACCCAAACCCATTTTTTTCAATCTGAATGTGAGTATTCGTGTTTCTAGACTAGTGAAACAGCACAACTTGTAGAACTGTTTAAGTAAAATTCAAATGGAATTTAGTTTTTAATTTAGGTTAAATACTGTGTGAAATAATGAACAAAGTCATTTTCAGATTATGTTGAACATCTATTGAGTTTTAATTAAGCAAAACATTATTTTTTAGATTGCTGCAGCAAAGCCAACTCCACCAAAAAGCCAGGTAACATTAACAAAAGAATTCCCTGTGTCATCTGGATCTCAACATCGGAAAAAAGAAGCAGATAGTGTTTATGGAGAATGGGTTCCTGTAGAGAAAAATGGTGAAGAAAACAAAGATGATGATAATGTTTTCAGCAGCAGTTTGCCCTCTGAGGTAAGTAAAAGGAATATTATGTATTTTTTTCCTTTTATATACCTGAATCTGCATTTTATTGTTATTTTATATCTGATTTGGATTCTGTTTCACTCTTCTTAGGGCCGGGTTAAACGGCAGGGCCGGGTTAGACGACAGATGAAACAACCCGCAGCTTCTCATTTGACAGTAACTCGATGCAATTCACTTTGTGGAACCAAGCCACAAAGTGAAAAGCATCGAATTGCAGAGAACAGTGTTATCACATCCCTACCCAACATTGGGCCCTCCTTGCACTTGTGGGAAGGTAGCCCAAGGTACAACTATTTAGCTTCCCGTTTTGCTTCAAGGCTCTATAGCTCTAGATTTTGGTGGTAGCAAATTTATTGGGTGGAGGGATTGAGCAGAGAGAGGCAGATCCTCAGGTTCAACACAAGAACTGGATTGGAAAAGGCGTTGTAGGCTGATGTGAGCATCTTGGATACATAGCCCATTGCCCTTAAATAATGGTTTCTATTTCTCTGGGTTGTTTGTCAGATAGCCTTTAATTTTAATTATTTTCCCTTCCCTATGCTACCTTGGCCCTTTGGATTCTTGTGTTTAACCTAATGTTCAGCCTTGGTACTCCATTTCCCTTCTCCTTCCCCTTTTTGCTACTATTAAAAGTTGGAGAAGTGGAATTCACACCTTGAAATTTCCAGGAGGCTATAGTTGTATCTTGTCAAAATGACGCGGTAATAATGCCAAGTGTCAAAACAGCCCCATTAAAATGCCGCCTGATTAAATAATGTGCTGCTAAATATAGTGCACATGAAAACAGCAAGACTGTATATATATGTAAATATATATATATATATATCTGTATCTTTGTATGTATCTCTGTATCTGTACCTTTGCTGTATCTTTTAATAAACAGTTTACTTTTATTTAACTTGTTGTGCAAAATCACGCTTGGGGGATCTGGGAGGGTGGAGACTTACTAGGGGGGTGGGAGTTTTAAATGATACCATAGACTAGTCATCACCTCTTGCCCTTCGTTTCCAAAGCCCAGACATTTGTCCAAGGACTGGATTAGATATCTGATGCCCTTACAATGTAGGAATTCTTCCCCAGCTCCTTTCCTTGCAGTTCTGGGATATGTGGGTCAGAGAGACCTGTACTCTTCACATACAGGTTCACTTTATTGGCCATATCATCGTCGTCCAATAAACACCTCTGATAATACAAATAAATGAATTCTGTTTATAAAGTTAAAAGTGAACAGAACCCAAATCAGAAACTTTGATAGTATTTTTTTTCCCCTGGGCTATTCACAGGTGACATTTTCACTGTGGTTTTCTTTTTACCTGTGGCATTTGAAAAGAGAGCAAGTTATATACAATGAAGCTGGACATAACTAGCCAGTGCAACTTACAGTCACTGTTGATGATCTATATTTACATGGGGGTCAACAATTGAAGCAAGTTATACCATCACCAGTGAGGGAGAGGATAGATAGCTTGTTGGGACAGTTTTTAGAGAAGCCAGTTGAGTAGCTCAGTTGCTAATTCCCAAATCAAGCTACCTGCACATTTCAAGAGGGAAAGGTTAACTGACATTTGTAACTGACTTAAATCTTGTAGAGGCTGAATATAAACCATGGTGAGAGGGCTGAACAGACTGACTTAGAAATTCTGATACATACGCTTTTAGTAATTGCTTGAAGATTAAGCAATTAACAGAAAAAAAACATAAGGGAAGTATTTATGTGAGAAAAATTTTCCAACAGAGTGAAGCCCTATAAATATTGCAAAATTCCAAGGGATTTTCCTGGGAAGATAAGTGACCATAACTATTTTGACTTCAGTTGAACATCGGGAGAGTGCTTAGTGAATCCTGGTGATTATGGTTCTTATTGATTGAGAGCTTATGTGTAAATATATATATTTCAGTATTTAGCCATTTTCAGCTTTAACACTAAAACCGTGGTGCCTTACATTGTCATCAACAGTGGTTGTCAGATTTGAATGAAAAGTTGGGGGGAATTATTCCAGAGAAATCCTACGGGGGAGTAGGTGGGTATTCAGATTTTATAATAAGTAAAGGAGCCTTTTATTAAAGCAGGAGGGGAAAAAAAGTTTTGTTCATGAAGCAGATTTCTCCTGTGGGGAGGATATATACAGCTATTTGATATCAGAACTCTAAGCTAGTTTCTTAGATGATTAGACTAAAAAAAATATATGTTAACTATAATTTCAAATAAAACAATCCCAAAATTTTAGGAAGGGACAGAATTTTGCTCTTGCTTTCAGGTCTTCGTGCTTTTACCTAGCAGTAATATGAAACACCTAGAGGAAATGTTCATAATATAAAATGTTTAGTTCCATTTATTTAGCTGTATCTTATAAATATATTTGTAAGATTAATGTTCTATATTCCAATGTTTGTAGAATACTATTGGTGACATTTTATGGGAGCATTGACTCTTGATTCCCTGTCAGGGGTTGAAATAAAGAATTTATAGAGAAAAGGAAAGTTCTTCTAAAATGGTCAACATTTTAACTGAATAGTACTTTTAATTTTTTTTACCTGTTAGTCTTTTTCATTTTAATAAATGTAAACGGAATTTGCGGTTCTTTAGTTTTGAGCATGAAACATTTAGGCAAAGATCACAGATTTGATCTCAGCTTTGCTATGATCCTTAATCCCCCCAATTGTTTTGCACATGAGTGCTCTTTGACATAAGTATGAGTGGATAAACGTGGATGGATCAGCATAAATCCATATCTTACGGAATATCAACTCATCAGACTGTGTGCCCTACTGCCATAGCATCGTCTTCCTACCCAGAAGCCAACCAGCATCATCCTCAGTAAGGAGTGGCTGCAGAACCTTGATCATATTTGTGTCAATTTGATTTATAAATGAAATCAAAAGTGTTGGAAAACATTTTAAAAATTGTCCTCGGGGGCATTAATTCTTGGTAATAAAGTTAGCAAAGACTTATTGGGTAGAAGATATAAATGTAGTCTCTGACGTAAAATTTCCTTGGGTTAACTATTTATCATAAATGTCCAGAGGTAGCTTGTCATTAAGTCTAGTGATTGTTTACATGTTAGGACAGTTTTTGTCTCTGGCAACTGTGCTTGATTTGTTACTATTGAAGAATATTTCCCTGTCCAGTGGAGCTAAAATTCCCTTATATTTAGAAGCTCTAAATTTTTGAAGTTTAGGAAAGCTGAGTTCTTGTGGTAAGACGAAAATTTTAATTGAAAATAAAACTAGGTCCTGGCAGTGCTAGCATGTGTTAAATACAGCTTTGTTGTTCATTCTTCTCTCCTTAGATTCTCTTAGGTGATTAACATGGAATTTCTTTACCATTTAATGATTTATCTGTTTCTTATTATGATTCATTTGGATTAAATGTACAAGTTAACTAAGAGTTGCACTAAGGAATTTTATGTGAAATAATGAAAAGGTTCATAAATCAGTTTTTAAAACCAAGCCACGTAACAACTTTACGTTGTTACGTACTTTACGTAACAACTTTACGTAGTGTGTATTTAGTGTGGCTTTTGTTTCTGTAGTTTTCATTTTCTACGTGAACCTCTTTGTATTTTATTAATTTTAGCTAAATATTTTAAAATCATGTTTTGTATGCAGGTTAGGTGCTTTTTCTTTAATTCTATTTTCTTACAATTAAAAATTTCCTTTTTTACCATCTTTTAATTTGAGATACCTGCAGTTACCTCTGTAGAAAATAATTTGCCTATTACAGGGATTATTTTTTCCTTACCTGACTGACCACCTTCTAATGTCTTTAGTTCTTTTATATACTTTCATTGACTTTATAGGAAATACTTAAGATAATTGTTCTATTTATATAAACAGTTGGGTTAACAAAGGGGGGAGGTAAATTGACTTAGAAGGGTTTTTTAGATGAAGATATAGAAGGTACACAGTTACAACTTAGGCCATGAAATGCATGTTACATGGTGTCAATTATATGTGTTTCATTAGTCCTGACAACTTTTTAGGTTATAGAAGTAGTAATCTGCTGTGTTACTGATGTAGAGGGCTGAAATAACTTGGACAGGTTTTTATTAATGTGAGAAGTGGAATTATAATTGAGGCTAGTCTTTTATGTGGATTTCACCTTTTAGAACAAGTCCTAGGGAGAAGGAAATTAAACATTTCCCCCCATTATAATAGAGTATTACTACACATTACATAGAAAGTCTGTCTTGTATTAGGGGAAATAAATAAGGCTTGATGATAGTTTGATAACAGTATTCTGTACAGTTTAAGATAATTTTCCCCCCAGTTTTTAGCATTCTAAAACTTTTAGCA